CATATTTTGTATGTTGTATGTTATATGTATTATACATATATATGTTAGGGGTAATAGTTCGGGCCAACAGTAGGCTGTGAGTATAGTTAAGTGGGCGGCGGGGGGAGTTAAAAGTCATACAGAGATTTTCAACAATGCAGGGGGTTGAAGCTCCTAACCCCCACATCATTCAAGGGTCAACTATAATCATGTCCGAACAAATATGAACATCATCCAAAACACAAAATACCAAACAACCCCTTCTCTCAACTATTGAATGACTGCTGTTTCTTTATCAATTACAACTTTAGACTTGTTCTAAGCTACCCTCGCTATAGATAAAATTAAGATTCCCAATCACGGGGATGACTGGGTGGCTCAGTCGGTTGAGTGTCCAACTCTTGGTTTCAGCTGAGGTTGTTGTGATCTCATGGGATCTCATGGGCTCTGCACTAAGCAGGGAGTCTGCTTGAAGACTGTTCTCCCTCGACTCACACTAAGTAAATCTTAATAAATAAATAAACAAATAAAGGATTCCCAATGATAGAACTACCCCTACTTCTTGACACCATCCAGAGCAAAACCTCATATTCTTAAACCCTCCCTCATATCACCAAATGTAAGTCCAAATCCTATAATAAGTCTTTTTTTTTTTTTTTTTTAACACCTTGAGACACCCTTTAGTATGGGTTTTTGTTCACTGCATCAAATAATAAACCTGAACTGTTCAACCACAGGTGAGTTCCTAGTGATCTCTGCTGGGAGGGCATCAATACTTCAATAACACTAATTACAGAATATAAGTTAATAGTGGTTCCTTACTGTTTCTGCACTTAAAAGGCTATGGTAATAAACAGTACATAATATAACAGTGAGTCCCAGTCAAAACAGTCTAAATCAGGAATTGCAAACTCAAATAATTACACTGGCCAAGGGGTAAGAGATGTATGATTTGACCAGGTATAACACGAGTGATAAGGTCTATGGTAAGGTAGAGTAAGTGGAACACCCCAGTTACAGTCTACATTAACATACTTGGCAGTGACCAGTGATCATTGGTCTAAATATTTTTAAGTTCTAGGTTAGTTTAACACACGGTTTTTCCTCTTTCATGATCTTAATCAAACTGATTAAAAGAGCTCAATTTAAACAACTATAAAGCATATTAGCAATTTCAGAAATTTGAAAACAGGAGAAAAATAAAGTGACTGTAATTTTCCTCATAATCAATTTAACTTCTCTGAGCTTAAAGTGAAGAGCCTCTTCTAGCAGTTGGTCCCTATCATCAGATCTTCTCAGGTTCAGTGAACTGCTTTCTGTTTTCACCACAAACTTTCAATTCATTCTTCCAGGGCTTTCTGACTCAATTAAAAAGAAAGGCCTTATTTAACCTCTCTAGCATTCCCCTATCAGTTAGAAATATCTGAGCTATTCCTTCTGGTTTCTCTGCCTTATAATTTCCTGGCTTTCTGTTCTTTCTGTGTGTTCAGACAGATGAATTAACAACTAGGTTAGTCTTCATTTCTTTTACCTCCCTTTCCCCACCAGCTTTCCCAATCAACCACATAGCAGAATGTTTTAATCATCATCCCCTTAGTCTTCTCAAGAAGGATAGGCATTTGAACATAAGAAATGATTATTTCTCAAACACTAGTTGTTTTTTGCAATGACTTGGGACAGCAGTGTGGTGAACTTTTTATTTCTTTAAAAAGCTAACAATAAAGCAAAACTTTAGCCACAAAAGGAAGAGCAAATTAAACAAATTCACACTTCAGTGCAGTTGCATTTAGATGAGTTTAAGACAAAAAGGAGAAAAAAACAAGCAAACAAGTAAAAGGCAAGGGACTGATTATGCCTCTTAAAATATAGAGGAGGTCCTTTCTCTGTGAAATCACAGAGAAAGAGAAGAAAAGAATATATAAATCAATTTAATTTTTAGTGAAAATAAATTGTAAGGTTTCACTGACAGCAGTAGCTAATGTCATTGTCTTTCTGGGCAGAATACTTGAGTGCTTATCTTAAATCTTCTCACCATATAGAAATTATTTCCAACTCCTCAAAAACACCAGCTGATACAATCATATACAACAGGTTTTCAATATAATCAACAATAAAAACCTGCTGAAACTAGAATAAAAAAAAGAGAAACACTACAGTCCAATAGGTTGTCATAACTCAAACACACTATTCTTTAAGAAGTTGCATGAAAGTCTAAGATATTAAGGATGCTGCTGCACCATAATTGCACCATTCTCAATTCAGAGTAACAAATCCAGAGTTAATGCATTTTTTAGGATATATGCAAGCATGTTCATAAATGAGCAAAGTATTATTTTCATACCATGAAGAGTGGTCGCAGTTTGCCAGCTTTTCCCAGGTGCATACAATTGTATTAGTAATATTCAAGATTATTTCAGATCTCTTTCCTTATACTTTAACATTTCCCATTTAAAAAGATCAAAAATTAGAAAACAACTCTTTGGGATGGAATGTTAAACCTGACGATATCTAATGTCACAACAATTCTATAGTTCTGTAATACTATGGAGTTCACTTAACTATCAGCCTATGGAGAGCTACAATGACAGTGGATTAAGTTCTTTGAAATTTATCAATACTTGTCACTCTAAAAAAAGCACCAGGAATTGAAACTCATTTCAAACTACCCTTAAAGAGATGTTTCAAGCTGAGGAAATCTATTTAACCTAAATAATATCATGAGGGGAAAAGCCACACAAATTAAAAACTAACTGACCTGAACTCTTCAAAACGGCAATGTCATGAAAAACACAAAAAGATGGGCAAACTGTTCCTGATTTTAAAAGACTGAAGAGAGACAACTGAATGCTATGTGATCTTCAACTGGGGGGTAGAGGGGCAAATAGCTAAAAGGGGCATTTTTAAGCAACAGGGAAAATGTAATGTCAAATTTCTTGAAAGTGATAATGATATTGTGGTTATGTGTAAGGATTTCCTTGTTCTTGGGAAATGCTTCTTCCAATATTTAAAGGTAAAGTTCATGTCTGCAACTAAAAATTTTAAATAGGTCTACCAAATAGAAATTCTATATAAGCAACAACATATCTTTTCCCTGAACATATTTAAATTCATATAATTTTTAAAAGAGAAAGCAAGCAAACCTGGCGAAATGCTAACAGTGGGTGAATCCATCAGTGTTCTGTCAATTTTTTTTTTTAAGATTTTATTTGTTTATTTGACAGAGAAAGAGATAGTGAGAGCAGGAACACAAGCAGGGAGAGTGGGAGAGGGAGAAGCAGGCTTCCCGCCGAGCAGGGAGCCCAATGTGGGGCTTGATCCCAGGACCCTGGGATCATGACCTCAGCTGAAGGCAGATGCTTAACGACTGAGCCACCCAGGCGCCCCAGTGTTCTGTCAATTTTTATGCAGGCTTTTAATCTGGCTATGAAATTTTTTAAATGTTGGAGAAAAACAGGATATAAATGAATCCAATCTAAGTAGTAATTAAATCCTAAATTTTTTAAACACAGATTTTTCATATCACAGAAAAAAAAATTTTAAGTAGGTTCCACACCCAACATGGGGCTTGAACTAACAACCCTGAGATCAAGACCTGAGATCAAGGCTCTAACGACTGAGCAACCCAAGTGCCCCCAAGTAACAGAAAATTTTTAACTCAAAAGTTAAATGTTTCAAAAGAAGTTTAAAAAATTACAAGTTTCAAACTTAAAATTTATTGGCTATTGACAACTAAAACCCAGTAGCGCACTAACCACTATAACCTTCCCTGAACCTAGAATGAACGTGAACACATTATACCTCCTTAAAAAGGATTTAACCCTTAAAACAGAAGTTATTAAACTGATGACCTTCCTACAAAATATACAATTATTTGATATGGATTGCCCACAACTAAAATAATTAGGGTTTAGTAAATGAAGGCATGTAATAAACATATATATTTATTTTATTTATTTAAAGTAATTTTTTTATAGAAATGGGTAGGCACAGTTGTAAATTCATTAAAAGTTAACTGTTAATTGTGAAAAGAGGATGATTCTTTTAATCAGTCCTAAAGTGGTTTTCATACTAAGTCCTAAAATATAAAACTGATATGACAGAAAGATCACTCCTGTATATTCATATCACCAAGACAAAAACCAACTGTGCAACCAAGAGCTATGTATATGATTGCTAGGCATTTACTAGTGCTACTGCACTAACGTTTTGGGACTTGTTTATAAAGTTTTTTCCAAATGTTATCAAGAATTATTTAAATATAACTTAGTATTTAGTGTTTGTTGAAGTCTTATCTTTTGGCAGACCATTTAATATTTACTCTCTTGTAATTTTTTTTTGTAATTATGTAAGAAATACATGTTCATTCTAAAATTTAAGTATCTACCTCTCTATCTATTGGACCAGGTAAGCACTTAACATTTTGGAATATTCCACACGGTCTTCAGTATATATCAAACTAAGCCTAGACTATATGCAGCAAGAGAACACTGACCATGTCCCTTAATTTCTCATCATCAACTGTAATCCTAGGTCCTAACACAGTATTCAACAAAAGTGGTCTTTCAATAAATATTCAATGATGTTCAGTTCATTTATAATGTTGCACAACTTTATTTTTAACCTTTAACACTGTAACGTAAATACTCATGCCAGTATCAATGGAGCTACATTAAATTCCTCTCTATGGCTACCCATAGAATAGCACAACCAACAGTGGATACTACAGTTGTTAATAGCTTCTCATCATTACAAACAACAGGACAATGAATATATATAAATATATAAATTTAAGGATACATAAGTATATACATGCACGTATCCACAGCATCTTAATTAAAAGGTCATTTAAAGTTTATACATTTATCTCCACATTGCTTTAAACTATCATATGTATAAGTTTTATATATGCAAAGGGTAATATAACACTTTTTAATTTTGTATTTTTGTTAACACACAATAGAAATTTTAATAAAATTACATGTTTCTAAGTACAGAAAGCCAAGGGGAAAAAAAAATCTTACCATTCTTGCTGACATCCAGTTCCCTGAGATTAATGAGATTTGCAATAGATGCTGGTAATGTTGTTAAATCATTGTCTGGCAAACTCAGTTTGTGTAGAGACTGACAGTTAAAAAGTTGCTATTGAAACAAGGGAAGAAAGGATTTTGATTATTTAAGTTTCCTTAAAGATTTCATTTATTAACCTTTACACAAATAAATAACCACATTATTAGTGTGGTTAAACTGAATGAATTATACCTACATAAATACCAGGGAAGATCTCTTATTGTTTCATGCTATTATGGATCTGAACACAACTGAACTACTCAATCATTTACATCCTCCTACTTCTGCCCCAAGCAAAATGCACTCAGTACCTATATGGTTGTATTCTTTGTTAAAGTAGTAAAAAATAAGTGGCTATTAAATACGGCAAACTTTGGAACTTGTATTTCAAGCATCCTTATTCCAAAATGAAAATTTACATAAATTAACTCCAAATATGTACAACTGACTCAGAATGACTCAAAATATATAATTCTGATTTGGGAGGACAAAAAAATTAAGGAACAAATATATGCTTAGGCTAAAATCACAATAATAAAATGTATTTAAAATAAAATATATTTAACCAAAAGTGTAGGTAAATGGGTCAGTTTTACATTCCATACCAAAAAACTGTATGGAGCACAGAGAATTTTTAGGGCAATGAAAATACTCAGTATAATACCAAATCACAGTTACATTTCATTATACATTTGTCCAGTCTCATACAATGTAGAACACCAAGCATGAACCATACTATAAACTCTGGACTTTGGGTGATGGTAATTTTTCAACATAGGTTCATCAATTTTAATATAAGTACCACTCTCACAGAGGATGTTGACAATGGTGGAGGCTATGCATGTGTGAGGATAGTGTAGGTATATAAGAAATCTCAATTTTGCTATGAATCTGAAACTGTTCTTAAAAAGTAAACTGTTTAGAAAACCAAACAAAAAACTGTTACCAGGATGACACTGAATAAGCCCTTTTTAAGAAGAGCATCTTCCAAAACCCGAAGGAAGTATAAGTGATTCAGTTATCTGCACTGTCACAGCAAGCCTCTCTCTTTTCTACTCAATCACCAGGCTGAGACCCTACTAGTGCTTATTACAGAAAGGGACTAAGTTCTCCAGGCTTCCTAGTTCTCCAGAACAACCTAAGTAAGATAAATTACTTTCTAAAGAACAATATATAAGGAAAAAGTAAATTACAAAGCACCTTATTATAACCTAGGGAAGTAATTCATAAACATGCAACCCACAATCTTTAATATTTTATCCACAGCCATATACAGATTTCTTTATAAGACAACCTTGGATGGCACTGGCTTTCCAAATGTTTTTACTACTAGCCACCAAAGGAAAAGCCTTTTTCAAAGCACTGCCATCCAATATGTGTACACATACACAGAAATTTAACACATATAGTTCATGCAACAATGGACACATACAACACACTGTACTTTCTATTCTATTTCAATCAGGGTTGCCAGATGAAATACAGGATGCCTGATAATAAATTTGGATTTCAGATAAACAATGAATAATTTTTTAAAAGATTTTATTTATTTATATGACAGAGAGAGCGCACAAGCACAAGCAGGGGAGAGGAGAGGGAGAAGGAGGCTCCCCGTTGAGCAGGGAGCCTGATGCGGGGCTTGATCCCAGGACCCTGGGATCATGACCTGAGCTGAAGTTAGGTGCTTAACCGACTGAGTGACCCAGGTGCCCCAACAATGAATAATTTTTAGTAGAAGTATGTCCTATTTACTGCATAAAACACACTTATACTAAAAAAATATTCATTGTTCATCTAAAAATTATAATTTAGGGGCACCTGGGTGGCCCAGATGGTTAAGCGTCTGCCTTCAGCTCACGTCATGATCCCAGGGTCCTGGGATAGAGTCCCGCATCGGGCTCCCTGGTCGGCAGGAAGCCTGCTTTTCCCTCTCCCACTGCCCCCTGCTTGTGTTCCTGCTCTCGCTCTCTCTGTATCTGTCAAATAAATAAACAAAATCTTTAAAGTATATATATATATAATTTAACTGGGTGTTGTCTATTTCTATATTCTAAATCCACCAGGGCAAATCATAGTTCATTTTTTGGAAATGCCACACATATTTATAAGCCACCAACACATCTCCATCCAGTTTTGATAAACACTACTGTTTGGGTAGCAAAACATTCTAACAAATTAAAACTACTGCACAAACTGAGGGTTGCTGGAGGGGTGATGGGTGGGGGAGAGGCTAAATGGGTGATGGGTATTAAGGAGGGCACTTCTCATGTTGAGCAATATTTGTTATACATAAGTGATGAATCACTAAATTCAACTCTTGAAACTAATATTACACTAGATGCTAACTAACTAGAATTTAAATAAAATTTTGGAAAAAAAAAAGAAAGCTACTGAAGCTTTTCCATAATAAACAAGAAAATGAGTTGAGAATGAAGAGGGATTTTTTTTTTTTTTTTTTTTT